TGTAACAACTGACACTGCTCCCATGAATTGCTCAGGTTTTTTGTTAATTACATAAAAATTAAGTTTCTGATGAATTTCAATTAAACCAAAGTAGGGCATCAGATGGAAGGAAATATTGGTGAAGAATGACTTGATAAAAATGCACACTGGCTGAACACATTATATTTTATGGTCAAGGTTTAATATTTCCTATTGGATTGTGACTGATTTATCACAGTTCCTTGGCAGACACACAGCCTTTGAAATCACTTTTATATCAGCATGCCCATCGAAAGTAGCGGAAAGTAACAAAAAAGTATGTAATTAAATTGGAAAGTATTAAAAAAACTGTGTAGCATCCATAATTAAATTTAAAGGACAACAGGATACTAATTTTAAGAAATTATATACTCTTCCTTTATACAACTTCTTGAAAGTAGGGGCTGAATCTGAGTATTCTTCACTCATTTTTACTACAGAACACGGCCCCCGCAGTCACTTAAATGACGGATCCTAAGTAAGTGAATAAATGAATGGACCTTGGATCTTGGGAAATGATGATTGAAATAATGCAGGTTTTCATATCAAATCATATAAGGTAAGCAAAACAACAAATTATCCTTCTGTCCAATTTAGCTTGAAAACTTAACTTTTTCTTTGATAAAAAGAACAATCATCAATTTGAAAGACTCTGGCTTAAAAGTCAGAAAACATGGACTTTACCAACATACCATTTTGTACTAAGAGAAAAATCTGAAAAAGACAAAACATATTACTGTATTTCACACTACATTTAAAAATTTAGATAGAAAGTTTAGAAATGAACTGTAGAACTAAGAAATTTTTTCTTTTCATTCATAAATTCACCATTAATTGGATTAAATCCAGTGTACCCCAATTTGGGGCCACGGATACAAGATTTTTAGAAACTCTAACATTTTTCAGCTGTGCTCTACCTTTACAGACTTCTATTTTTATTATATAACATGTCATTTTACAATAACATGTTTAAATCGTCATAGAACACTGTTGTACACAAAATGACAAAAGTTGCCAGAACAGATCCACTGGTTAGCAGAAAATACCAGTATGTCAAATCTGTGTATAAATGTACAAGTACAGAGTTGTCCAAAGTACAGTACAAATGTTCAAAAGCTGGACCAGTAAAACCCCACTGTGATGCAACATCTCCTGAATATTCCTTTAGAATTTTCAAACAGTGCCTTAAGAACCCATTTATTTAAGCAGAAAGCAAACCTAATTCAGGGATCATGGTGAATGATTGTTGGTGTAAAAAAAAAAAAAAACATTAAATAGAAACTCAGTCTTGCTGCTTCTGAGTGCCAACAGTACTGTAAGAAACAAAAATAAATCACATGGTTCAAACACAAACAGAAAAATCAAAATGTTAGAAGTTGAAAGAAATCACACAACATCTACTACATGGAACAAAATGGATTCCATGCTAGGAAGTTTTAAGACTTATTTTCATATTCAAGACATGATAAATAGTCTCTGAAAGATCACTGCTACTTCTCAAAAGAGAATTGGGCAGAACACAGACATGGTAAGGCTTTTCACAACGGGTTGGCAACACTGTCTTTTTGCTTAACACTGTACAACATTAGATCTCTGTTCTCTCTTTTACATTGCAGGCATATAATCTATATGTAATTATGAAGAAATGCAAATGTATAGATATAATAAGGTAAGAATTCTAAAGCAGGTAAATTAATCCACATTCCAGAAGAGATATACATATGTATGTAAATATCTGCAAGATAATAACAGCTTACAGATACAAAATGCATAATAAAACCATTAGCAGAACACTGTTTTGTGTAGGAAGAATACAAGATTAACACTGAATTAAAGGACTTGCATATATTTCAATAACATATGCAAAATCCAAAGATCAGATTAGTAATATAACATTACTAATGCAAGTGGTGTTTAATATTATTATTTAAAACTTCTGAATATTTCTGAATTTGTCACTTTTATGAGATTGGTTAATATTTACTTTTATTACTCTCAGATAGTTTCTGAGAATATTTTAACTTAACATCGTTTTCAATGTTTAACCAGTTATGTACTTCCTCAATTTCTAAAAAGGAGAAGTACTTCAACAAGAGAAACAGCAAATGTTAACGATTTATGAATATTGTTGTACATAACATCATGTAAGGTCACTAAATCACCATGAAAATCACAAAATAAATCGGTATCCATGGATAAGTATGAGAATCATGTTTCTTGCCCTTAGGTAGCTTATGTTCATGTGCAGCTTTTGCCAAAACCCTTCCTATGGTATACTTTCTCATTCTACAGAGTTTGCCCTGAGGGCACATCAGGGGGCAGAACAGGCACCTAGCAGATGAGGAATGTGACAGGAGGTGCATGTTTTAAATATGCTGGTCTTCTTCATTGAGGAAGGGACACTGGAGACCGCAAGCACCTGAAGGGGAAATGTTAGGTAAAAGAATCAACATACACAAAGGCTGCGGAGATTGCCTGGCTTGTGTTCAGGCCAGTGACAGAGAAGCCAGTGTAGCCAGAGAAGGGGAGAAAGTGGATGTGTGCTAAGGCTGGGGGAGAAAGTCACCTGGGATCAAACTGTGCTGTGTTAAGGCCAGTTGGAGTTGTTGGAGGTGACTTTAAAAAGACTCTGACTCTTATTTAAACTTTGAAAGTTTTAACAATAAGCAAGATTAATTATACTATTTGGAGAATATAAAAATATAGTATGTAGAAAAGTTATGGTGATTTGAAGGGCAAAGCATTAATAATATAGCAACAGTAACAATTCAATGTCTTTACTACATAACGGATCTTTCGCAAATTGTTGGCAAACATGATAAATAAAATACACAGTACTGGCCCTGAAATTAAAAAGCAAAAAACAAAAAATCAACCCCCCAAACCCAGTAACTTTCTATCAAAAATGTATGATTAAAAACATCAACTTTCTTCAGTTTCACAGTTAACCTTACTTTTGATGAAAACACCACCATGTGAAATCTGGAATATGAACTAAACAGATATTTTATATAATGCTTTAAGTAACAAATTTTATTAAGTTGTCTGCCAAACTAGTAAGACCTTCAGATTCTTAAACCCACTTACCCTTAACTAGTAAGCATAGTATGAAGTTAATATATGAATTCTTGCAACATGTCTGCATGTGTGTGCTCCAAGCCTGGAGCCTTAAGAAAAGCACAGAAACACAAATTGCCTGCATGGAGACGGAGGAGAGCAGTCTGTGATACCCTAGAACTCTGCTTTTCATTAGACAGAAATGCAAACTTCCTGTTTCGGTGTACCTATGAGAATCATAATACCACAGTAAAGGGCTGAGTCAAGTCAAAGGGATGGTAAATGAAATTAGGCCCTTTTGTTGCATTAAGACTTATCCTGAAATACCGAAGGGGTATCAAGTCACTCCAAGCAGTTTCTTAACAGTCAGAAGGGGACTGATGCAGCATCTCTGAAATGACTTCTACCCATATATTTGAAACACACTTGTAAATAGGCAATTCTGTCTTCCACCAACACATCTAAATTTATCAAGTCATTTCTTAAAAGCCATTGCTGAGTTTGCGGAACTATCACTGTTAACATAAACAGGAACTAAGTGTCTGAATGAACTATTTCAATTGATGCCATACTGAGTCTCCTTGAAAGATCACTGCTTACTACACAAAACCTAGCAACACAGTGAAGAGATAACAGAAAAGAAGGGTAAGAATATGAAGAAAAATCTAAGGTAAAAATATAAAACAAGAGGAGGAGAGAAGAGAGGGGTGTTAAACAATATTCCTACAGTAGCACAGATGTGTGTAAGTTCAGACAGGTCTCTGAAAAGGTAATCCATTTCCCGTATCAGTTTTAAAAGAACTCTGTCCTAAAAAACACATCCTTTTTAAAGACCACAGAAATGTGAAAATCATTATATTTTATTTTAAGCATCCAGCTCAACAATCTGTCTGTCTGAAGCTGCCCCACCCTCAGGAGTAAGCCCATCTTTCCCATGTAACACAGAGGAATGATCAGGGTCTTGCAGTGCCTGGAACAGGGTAGGAAAATTGAGTACATTCTTAAATACAAATTTTTGCAAAGGCTTAAAAATTATTTGCTTTCTAAAGTCTATAAATACATTGCTAGCTTCAGCATGACTATGTTAATATACAGTGATGACATAGTGCGAGCCTTCCAAACAATGCAAACTGGAATTCAGATCCATGTGACATTCTCCAACTTGTATTTCTGAAAAGGGAATACAAATCAGTCTTTGGGCACATTGGTTATTCTCTAGGCTTTGTTACAAAACATCAAATCAATTTATGTTTATTGAAAGCTTTCCTACAGACAGGAAGGGAGTTTTTTAGATTCACTTCTGTAATTTGGGAATTTGAACTCCTCTTTTGGCAGGAACTGTGTCAAGGAGACATTTTTCTCTGGTTTTCCTATTCTACCTCAGAAAACTACCACAGACATGTGTGAAAAAGAAACTGCAGGGCTGGGGATTTAGTTCAGCGGCATAAGCGCCTGCCTTATAAGCAGGCAGTCGTGAGTTCGATACCCGGTACCGATAAAAAAAAGAAAAAGATAAAAAAATAAAATAAAAAAATGAAACTACATCTCAGAAGAAAAAGGATTTGGTTGAAAACATCAACATACAAGTTATTTACTATAGTCTGCTTAAGATTCAGAGACTGATTATAAGCAGAATTTGACTTACAGTAAACTATATAAATATGATTAGTTTGTAATAGCTGTGTCATACTGAAATTAATGGCATTAGAGAAAAGGACTGCTTAGGTAAAATTAAGTAACACATAACAAAGGACAAAATATAAAGCAACAAAAACAAAACTGCACACAAATTCAAACATGGAACCTTTTAAAACACCTTTTAGTATCACTTACTGAAACATTAAGGTGAAGAAAATTAGAAGAAAGAAATATTAGAAGGGAAAATAAACAAGGCAAATATTTTGCGACTTAAATCTTGGGTATACCTGCCATGCAGTGAGACAAGAGGTGCACATCAGATGCCCACAGGGCTCAATCTTGACATCTTTATCGTTTTCTGCACAAATTTTACAGAGCTGAAAAGTGGAGCCCATTTCGCAATATAATTCATATTGTTCCTAGAATATGGGGAGGAAAAAAAATGCAAAGTTAATGTATTTCTTTAATATTCAATTTTCTCCAACAGAGTACTTACAGTAAATATTTTATATGTGATCCTGTCAGAATTATGTTACCATCTCAGATACGTTTTAGATAATCACAGTTTGGTCTATAAAATCAATTTTCAAAATGCTTGAGCTTTTAGCAGCAAATTTATGAGCTTTTTACCACTTTGGGTTACTTAATGTTTTATACTATTTCCTGAAGATGGGACTTGCTTCAACAATCACAGAAATTCAGAACACAAACTCATTTTAAAATGGTAATATAAGTGAATTTATATTCTTTGTAATGCCACGTGCTCATCTAATTCCATTATGAAATAAAAGGAAAACATGCTAGATGAACATTAAATTTTATTTCTTAGGTATCTTTGGAAATCCCCAAATGGGAGATAAGAGCAACATTTGGCCTTCCTGCATGCCATGCACGGCAGCCACATTTATTATTTATCTTCTCTAAAGCATAAAATATATTGGATTTTAAAAAAATTACCTAAATGTAAGTTTTCATTATTTGCTTCAAATTCTAAGTCTCAGAGCCTAAAGTTCATGCACTGCTCCTATCTGACACTGTTAAGAAAACTAATCAATTCAGTAACCAAAAAGTGATTTATCATTTCTGTTCCTTTGATTTACTACTATTTTCAAGCTTGACAGTTTGGTACAGTAAAATTCTCAGTGAGAAAACTGGAAATATCTATGTCACAAAGAGTATATACATTTTTAAACATAAAGAAAATATTTTACAAGATAAAGCTCATGAGAAATACAAAGTAAAGGAATCATGAAATCACAATTTATTTATAAAGCCACAGTTTAGCCCAGTCAGTACTGACCTTGAGTAGAAAGAGTAAGTGACAGAATTTATTCCATTATCCAGCAGAAGATATACAATAATACAATCCTGGAGCAAAGGATATACACACATAGCACACACACACACATAGAAACACACACACAGAAACACACGCACATACAAATTTTATGTACTGTGATATATATGACTATATACAAAATTTTTAGGAAACTAAGTAAATGGATCAAGATAAAGAACTAAAATTTAACTCAAAATAAGCAATGAAATGTTGAATTTCCTGAAATAATTATTTATAGTGGTTAGGACTATACAAACAAGTTGCAATTATAAAAAAATTCTAATACAGTAAAATCACAGATGTGGACCTTAATGGAACCTAAGGGATAAGAATATTAGTATTTTAAGACAACAATGTTACTCTCGAAGATTTATTTTTAAACAACAGCTTTATAAAGAGGAACTGTTTCTCACCAGTGACCTTTTCACGTATTACAAAATCACTATACAAATTTTAAAATAACCATTACGACATTTTAAAAGTCATCTACAAACAATATAAATGTCAACAAATATATTTCACTTAATACAATCAAGACAGGGACTGAAGCTGGGAAAATTTCAAAATAAATTATCTTTTCTGAAACAAAAATTCTTTTTGGTTGTTTTCCTTATAATTCTTATTACTTTTATGGAAGGTATGGCCACATTTAAAGTATATTGTAAAAGTATACTGCCCGAAAAACATGAATTACTCAATTTCCTTTCATCCTCCTTTGCTTGGCCAATCATTTTAACTTTCCCAGTAAAATACTGTTACCAGTTTGTTATTTTTGAAATGTGTATGTTCAAATATGGTGTCTTATATGTTTATTTATAAGTACTGGACTCATTTACAAAACAATATGTTAAATAATCATAGCTTGATTATTTAATTTAAAAAAACAAAACGAGATGCAGAAGTTCCCATGTGAATATATAGAGACCCCTTCCTCTGGCTGATGACTTCATATAACTGCTGTGGGAGACTATGGTTAGTTAATGTCTTAGTGAACATTTTGGCATTTTATAACTTTTCACTGCTATCAGAGAACTACAGTGAACACCCCAGTGGAGAGATTTTGCATGCCTAACTGAGTGACACAAATAATACGGAATTTAGATTCAAAAGATGTCATCATTGCCTGGGTGGGGTGGTATACACTTGAAACAGCACTCAAGAGGCTGAGGCAGGAGGATCGCTGAGAGTCTGAGGCCAGCCTGGGCTACAAAATGCGGTCAAGGCCAACCTGAACTGCATAGTGAACTCCTGTCTTGAAAAGGCAAAAAAAAAAAAAAAAAAAAAAAGAAAAACCAAAAAAGAGATGCTTTAAGTTAAGTTGTTTATATTTATTAAATATTAATCTACAAATGGCCTTGCCAAGTTATATTCTCACCAAAATCAAATTTAGAAAAACACACATACTACCTTCAATCATATACTACCTTTAATTACCCATTTGAGTCTGAAAGCTATGGCAAAAGTTCTTCTAATCATTCTTGTAGTTTTTTAACCTAAGGCTTTCCCTTCACATCCGTACATCTACTTGATAGATTCACCAATTTCTATACAAACGCCCATATTATACGGTAAGCAAGAACATTAAGACCAGATTTTCTATTTAAAATATGATTTCATCTTAGAATTCCTGAAGTTATCTTTTGTATGAAATACTTCTGCATGATTTACCAATAAAATATGTAGATATGATTTCAATAATTATACATAACTATATTTTCCAGAAATTCTCCTTACCTGTGTAACTTTTATGTGATCATGGGGTGTAGGTTCACATAATCCAGTTAAATCAGGATTATAACTCCTCCCATCAGGATAAAGATAACTAGATTTAAAAAGAAACTTTATTACCTTCAAAATACAAGTGTTAATTCCACTTCAGGTCATCTACTGAGTCATGTACTTAAACACATACTTTTATGTTTCTAGTTTTTAAAAGAGGTAAATCACATTCTTTCATTATTTTGAGACCATTATAGTTGTGGCATATATAAAATACAGAAATAATTTCCATACAACAAATGTGGATTCAGCCACTAAGTATTCATTTTCAATTAAATGTCTTTAGTATATGATCATCATAAAGATTAAAAATAGTTTTTCTGACTATAATAGTTACGTTGTATCCTAAAACAATTTGAATATACTTCTAACTTCCAATTAGGGCATTTTTCAATTTTATATCATGTTGATTATCACATGCAAAGTAAACATGAAAGCCACAACTTTCCCAGTAGTTAAACACTTCTTTCTTTTGTTTCTTTTTCTACAGCTTTCCAATCTTTCTTCTTTCTACTTATCTCATATATATATGCACCAACACACATGCACATACATATACATATTTTTAAAAATCAGAAAATGCTACACATCCATGTTTCACTAAGTTTAATAGAACACATAATGGTCTTATCAAAGCAGTGTTCATTTAGAAGGGACATCTGAACTAAAGCTTATAATACTGATACCATCTTGCTGTTAAATCATAATTTGTACTCACTGTTCAACAAACTCACCAAAAATATCAAGATTATTTTATCAGTTAATAATTGTTTTTATCAATTAATTACTGCTCAATATTAATTAAATTATGGTTAATTCTGTTTAATATCTTTCTATAGTAGAGAACTTTATAAAAGAACATGACTATCAGAATTTATGCAAGAAACTCAGAAAAATGAATTTAAAAGACAGGTCATTCTTTACAGAGACAGAAAAATCATTAAAATGATTTCTCATGTTAACTTAGGAAAAGGAGTTGACAATATAAGGGGACAAGTTCCAAATTCTATAGATATTAAAATAAGGAATAAGGAAAAGCTGCTAAGTATATGTCTTTATATCCTAAAATAAACATTAAAAATTATCATGCAACATTTGATCATACCTAAAAAATATATCACAATTCTAGACAAATGCAGAAATGAATCATAAAAAGAGAGAGAGAAAAAAAAAAAAAAGAATGTTAAACTGTGCATGGTGGTGAACATCCATAACCCCAGAACTCTGAGATACTGAGCAAGAGTATCAGAAATTCGACTGTAACCTGAGCAATCTGAGAGAGACTTAGTAACACTATGTCAAAATGAAAAACAAGAGATGGGGATATAGCTCAGTGCAAGGCCTGGAGTCCAATCCCCAGTTCTGAGACCAGGAGAAGAGAGGGGACTGGAGGAGAGGGGAAGGGAAGGCTGGGGGGAAGGGGAAAGAGAAAGGGAAGGGAAGAAAAAGACATTTAAAAAACAAAAATGAAAATGAAGATGTTAAGAAAAGGTTAACAATTTCTATGTACTTTATCAGGGGCCCAGTGATGACTGTTGTCCTGTTTACCTAGGATACTGCTGGTTGGCCACTGTCAAAGGCAGGTTAAGTTTTTCTATTTACCAAAATAATCATCTACATCATACAACACTGGATTAACTAGAAGGAAATATGGCTGAAATTGATAACAGTTGGACCAGAAGACCCTGTGATTTTACTGATCTGAAGAAACTACTAAATTTAACAAATATAGTCTATTTTATGCTTATCTGCTATGCAAATTCAGATTCAACTAGCCATTGTCTGAAGATGTTTCAGTCTGCACATGTGACTGTGTGAAAAGAACAGTTAGTTATACTGCCTAAGAGTACAGAAGTTTGTGTTACTTCCGAATACTGTAATACTGTAACAGTGTTTTTGACTGGCTTTTAAAAGTTGAGGGAAAGGTAGTAACAATACAAACAAGAATGTCAATATATTCCATTTATATGTTTATCTGCTCACACCTTTACAAAGTAAAACTTTAAAGTAACTTTTCTTTAAAAACTAAAGCCTATAATCATAGTAAGTCAAAAACTGCACATATAAATATTTAATATACCAAAATTAACATAAAACAAAAAAATCACAGCAAACTTATAAAAATTTAAAAAGAAATATGCCTCTGTTTCCAAAACTTGAGATACTTTCTATGTAACTTTTGGAAAAGTTGTAACTTTTAAAATATACACTGTTTCTTCACATAGATGCCACAATATTTCTTTTTTTTAACTTTCCTGTTTTCTTTTAAATATTTTGTCATTAAATGTTTGCAGTATATAATGATCACATTCATCCAGGCGAGCTGAAATTGGCACATACACATAACACAACTTAATTCTTTACACCAATTTTCCTTCATTCCTCTTTCCATGATTCTTTTGCTTCTCTTCCCTTTTGCAAAAGATCTATCTCCCTGTTTTCTATTTTATTTTCTCTCTAACTTGGGTTTCTCATATACGAAAAACCATATATTATATGCTTGTATGTCCAACTTATTTCAATTAACTTGTTTTAAGGTGTCCTTTTTATGGAACTCAGATTACTTGCTGGTCACTAACTCTGGTGAAGTATATCCTGCGAGGTTTCTGTCATAATCCATTCCTGCAAATTAGACTACACGTATCTTTAATTTACTCAAGAAGCAGAGAGGTAAAGAGACTTTATAAGGTTACTGCTGGCCCAGCTCTTTGGCACAGGCCTCTAATGCTAGATACTCCAGAGGCCAAGAAAAGAGGGCTACAAGTTGGAGCACACCCTGAGCAACTTTAGCAAGATCCTGTTTCAAAGCATAAACAAGGGCTTGGGATACAGCTCAGAGAAAGATGCTAGCACTGCCACAAAGAAGAAAAAAATTTAAAAAGGCAAAGAAAAAAATAATGGAGAGAAATGTGGAAAGGTTACTATTATGAGTAAGGGAAGATACACAAAGATGAAAGGAGAGAAACAGGGAGAGAAACAAAAAGAATAAGAAGGAAAACATAAAAATTTAGTATCATCAGTCAAAAAATATTATTTTAAAAAATTTCTGCACTCAATTTTTTCTGAGAAGTACAAATTGATAGGGCAATTTATTGTTGTAATGAATTTTGTGTAACATATAATTAGTTTTATAGAATCAGATCAACAATAAGAATTAAGCAATATACATTTCTGAGTCATAAGATAAAAACACTGTTAGCCTCGCTAGCTACTTTCTCCATCACGAAGCAGGCTCTATTTTTTAAGTTTGTGCATCGTAAGCATGCTCGACCCCATTTCTCATACTTACAATCCTTCCCTGCTGCCGTCAATTAGGGCTTGAAACAAAGGCTTGTTGTGAGGTATGGTCTGTAGGATGTTCCCATCCCCGGTCACATAGCCAATGGCCCACTGCCCCAGCCGAGTGCAGCTTAACCGGAAAATATAGCTGGAAAACACGAGAACACGTCGTTTCATCACATTCAAAGGGTATGCCAAACACCAAATAATAACGATAGGCTTTTCTTTAAAAAGCAAAACAAGAAACAGAATCAGAACTCCTGAAATAAGCTTTTAATCATGTTTTTAACACCATCATACTTGTCTGGTTATTCACATGTAAAATAAATATTGGTAACAGTTTTTTACCTTCTACTTATCTCTAGCGTTATATGAGGAAACACGTAAGTTGTAAACTATTAAATGATTTACTGCCATCACTATCAGGGAGGCTGTGTGTCAAAATGCTGCAAATATGAAACAGCTATGACATAAATCACTTTGTGGGGGGAAAAAAAGACTAAAAATTTAATTTTCCCATCTCAGAAACTGAACCAGTTTCTACAGTAGAATTAAATAAATTACTTCTAAATACTAAAATTACGCATATGAACTGTTAAATAACATTAAAAAATAACACATTTTCTTTCAAGAATTTCAGTTATTTCAAATAAATTTCAAAGAGCTGAAGTATAATAATGGGAATGCAAATTAGGTAAATTCATATTTGCCATTTAAACCTGCCAAAGTAAATACTGTATCTTTCACTATTAAGCCAAAATTGTTCCAAACATAAATGAAATGAAAGACAAACCCCATAAAATCAATCTCCAATGAAAGGAGACACTGACGTGGCTTTACATGCATCATCATTTATTTATTTATTTAGCTGTCTATTTCAGTTTAGCTCATTTCTCTTAAATAGTGTATCACACTCAGTCTTGCCATCATTGATATCCATGTCTGGACTTTAGAGTTCATTAAATAGATCAAAAGTAAGTTAACTGTCAGTCTGTGGGCTACAAAGGAGGTATCATATGAATGTAAAAAATAAGAGAAAAATAAGCGAAATGGTGTCTCTCATTTTATATTAGTGACTGACAAACCAAGCACTTTACGAAAAATTAGCAAAATGTAATTTAGTACGTATAATGGGTATACAGACACCAGATTTAATTAACTTTACTATTTAGTATTACAATGCAATTTCATCTATCAGAAAATCAGTTTTTGTAACAATGGAAAATTTGCAGTATTTTAATATTAAGATCTTCATACTGGTAATAGAATCATCTTAAAAGACCTATCAAAGAATTATCTATAAAGGTACTGCCCTAAAGAGCCTGAAAATAGAAATACTAGCTTGTCAATTAATTGCATCAGAGAAAATAATTCTACAATATCATAGAAAATAATTGTGCAGACTGAAGACTGTGATGTTATGAAAAGGGCTATACAAATAGAAAGTAAATTATAATTTGGAAGATCATTATTAACTTGTTACATTAAGAAATATATATATATATATATGACACAATTCTTTAAAATAAAAAAGTCAAATACAGAAATCTTAAAAATCTTTAGAACATGATATGAAAGTATAGATTACAAATCTACATAGTTACTATTTGATAAGTAATTCTGTATTTATTCATGTTTAAAGAGCCTAGCAAATACTGAAAAGCATTCTTACAAAACTGCTCAGTTTGGAATTCACATCCCATTGTTTTCTTTCTTTTCTTTTTTCTTTTTTAAATTTTTTTTTGGTATCAGGGGGTCAAACTCCTAACCTCGTGCTTGCCAAGCAGGTGCTTATGCCACTGAGCTAAAGCTCCGGCCCCCCAATTCTGCTTTCTTAAATACTGTTTTACATGATGTTTCTAAAACTGATTAACACAAAGGAAATCCAATTCATGTACATTAGCAATAATTGGATGAAAGTCAATAAAATGGTTTATTGGAACAACTTTTCCCTTGCATGAACATTTTTGTTATTCAATTTGATTTATACCATTTTCTATCATTTGGTGCTTACCCTTTTGTTGGTAGCTATTTCTGAGGTTCATGAAATCAATTCAATTTTTGCCTTATTTTTAGTACCTGATTATGCATAAATGCCATAATTAACACAGAAGAATATATTTCCTATTGAAATAGGAGTCACTTTTGGTTAAAACAATTCTTTAACTCATCCAAATGTGTGTGCTGATACATGTGTGTATGGAGTAACTGAGGATCAAATCCTACCCCAGCCCTCAAATATAATTTCATCACATTACTTGGAATAGCAGAATCTGTGGAACAGATTGAAGTATTTTCTTTATTCTGCAAAGCAAATATTTAACAAAATTATTTGATTTTTTTTCACAAAGTTTTCCTGAACACATTTTAAATTCTCACATCATGCTTTGCACATACAAGTTACAACTATCCATTTCTTCTTCAGCTAATCAAAAACCTAATCATAAAGAAATCCTGAACAAAAACAAAACGAACATCTCAGTCCCTGTCAACATACAAAACTCTGCTTAATGTAAACAGAAACTTCAATAGCAGCCTATTTCCTGGCCCTCCAGCTTCTCTTTAGATACTATATTAATTCTTCAAACAAAATTTTCACTGGACAGAAAACAATCAAACTACTGGTTTAAATCTTAGAAGAGTATGAAAGGATAAACACCAGCTCTACTACAAATCAAATAAAAATGATCCTAAAAGCAAAAGGTAGGCATGTACAACAAATTCAATCTTAAAAGGAAATCTCTGGATGAAAACCAGGGCACTAACTGACAGTGAAGTGATACTCTCCTACCAAAATGTGACAACTCTGACCACAGGTTTCTAAAATCTCTACTGCTACACTCTGAACACTGTTTATCATAACATAGATGCCACTAGTTAAATGGCTACTATTAGTATTTCTGGATGGGACATAGTAGAAAATGCTATGGGAAGGGGCAAGTTTTCTTACATTTGTCATTGTGATTTCTTGACCAGGGAAGGGACAGGTTTTTTGGTCTTACATTTGTGATTAATTAGTCCAATTCCAAAAGGCCGACTAAAAAACACTCAACTGCTACATCTCTCAATCTATTACATTATTTGCAAAATGAAACATTTTTTTGAAGCTCTAAGAAGATGAGGTGTTACAGGAGTTGTTTTCAAGGACATGAAGCTGAACTGGACGGTAACAATGGGCTTTTATTTATTTATGTGTTTATATGTATTTATCCTATACAAGTATGAATTTAAATGTGTTTATACGCATTTACTTGTATTTATCATAGAGCCTAAATGAATGTCTTGAAAATATCCTATACCAATGTAAGTAAACTGATTCATTTCTCTTTCACATAATATTCAAGCATTCAAATATACACATGTAGTGTTGCACACTACAACAGGAATTATGAAATAATCAATATATGTTAATATCCTCCTCTCATGTGAAAAGCAGAATTCTAAGGATGAATGAATCTTTAAGCTTATCACAGCACACAGCACATCCCCTTTCACTTCACGCACACTAAGTTTCAGCACAAGCAGAATGCATTGATTTAAAGGTCACAATTTTGTTTTATGAGCTTCTTCATCGCATGCAACCTCTACTAAGAGTTACTAATTACTCAGACAGGAACCAGGGAAGATTCCTCTTCTTTTAAATTTGCTACAGAACATCATCGTTGCAATCCTTACCTCCCAGGTTTGGTGCTGTACTTCTGCAGGCGTGCTTTAACCTCATCATAAGTGAGAAATGCCATGTATCCAGGGTGTGTCACAGCTAAGAAATTCCAATTCCGGAGAATAGAGCCCCAAGGCTGAAAACATAAACAAAAGGAGAGATTATCTAGATTATATCAACAACTAATTACACAGCAACTCGTTTCATACACTTAATGAAATTCTACTAGCTACTTTTAAAGGTAGCATGTACTTATGTGGCTTAGGTTAACCTTTGTTAACAGCAAATATGCAAAAGTTTGCTCTTTTTAGGAGAAATGTAATTAGGCAGAGAAGAGGTATTTTAGGAATAGAATAGAAAAGAGAAAAAAAGAAAAACCTCAATTTCTACTTAGTTTATTATTAATAAAGCATTTGTGATCATTTTGAAACATAAACCACCATAATCCTTTTCTTCAAAACTTTCAAATTTTAAGTAAGATTCAGAGTCTTTTTAAAGTGGCCTCCAACAACCCCAACTGGCCTTAACACAGTTTGATCCCAGGTGACTTTCTCCCCCAGCCTTAGCACGCATCCACTTTCTGCCCTTCTCTGGCTACACTGGCTTCTCTGTCACTGGCCTGAACACAAGCCAGGCAATCTCTGCCGCCTTTGTGTATGTTGATTCTTCTACCTAACTTTTCCCCTTCCAAATGTCAGGTGCTTGCGGTCTCCAGTGTCCCTTCCTCAATGAAGAAGACCAGCATATCTAAAACATGCACCTCCTGTCACATTCCTCATCTGCTAGGTGCCTGTTCTGCCCCCTGATGTGCCCTCAGGTACACACTTTGTAGAATGAGAAAGTATACCATAGGAAGGGTTTTGGCAAAAGCTGCACATGAACATAAGCTGCCTCAGGGCAAGGAATGTGACTCTCTTGTTCATCCATGAATATCAAAAGATACAGAATGTCACATACAATGTTGCTGAACAGTCCCTTTAACCAGTGGCTTTCATGTTTCTTCCAAGGTAACATGCTACTGCACTTCTCTTTGTTTAGGCTTAAACAATTTTAAAATTAGGAAAGAATCAGGGTTTAAAAAATGAGTTATATAAGAAAAATTTCACAAAATAGCTGTTCTCTATCAATATAGCAATCTTTCTTTACTCTGATTAGTGGTCCCTCCAGGTATGGCAAGAGAAAAAGGCAGTCAGTGATACATGACTGTGCTTCAGGGTGCGGGTGAATCATCTGTAATTGTTTTTCATGCTGAGGCTACATTTATTCCTAGGAATTGGCGGCATACTACATTAAATGTGCCAGATTCTTAACTCAAATCTTCTCCATGAAAGAAAAAAACAGGTAATTTATGTGGCCAACTTAAATTGCTGAAAAAGATATCACAGACTTGATTACTCATAAAGGGTTCCTGCTTTTGTTTGTTTTGAGTCTTATTCATAATTGTAAATCAAGTTTCAAATTTACAAGGCAGAATTCTTCAAGGATTATTTCCCTTGAGGTGAGACTAACAAGGGAAAGAATGATTTGGTAATAAAAAGTCATTTAGCCTTTTCTGACATAACAAGAAAAATCTTTAGGGTATTTCCTCATCATAATAAAATATCTAATTGGGTTTAAAAGGAACTCCTGAGAATACTAACATGACAGATTCTATTTGCACTTGCAAAAAAAGCATGTCTTTAAGTTCATCTTCTGGTATTACTAAAAATTACATAAAATATAGTTGGAGAAATATTAGCCTATTTGTAAAAAACAACTGAGAAGTAGCAGTTATTCCACACATTTTGTTTATTGTTTTACTTCCTCATCTAAAGGACAAGGACAAATTCAATATCAAATACTGGGGATACCTGCACTGAAGTCCACACACATTAATGGAAGAATTGCTTTGTAAAATGCTAAATTTCCCAGAATGGCAATGCATAGGCTAAAATACAAGAGAAGAAAAAGAAATTGGGAGTGTCAGAGTGAACTGCTGCAGTATTTAGCAACCATTTCTTAGTGCATGACCCAGAGATCCAGCTTTTAATTGAAAAAATATTTTTGTAACAGGATTGAGTCTGTGTGCTGTTTATTCACTGAATGCAAGTCACTCAAAACTGTCAAAATCACGTGTTACTTAGTTGTGCATGTATTTTTTTTCCTTTCAAAATAACTTGACAACTAATGGCTTAAAGAAGGCAAAACAAAGTGCTCTAGAGAATAATTCATTTGATCAAAAGAAATTTTTTCATATACATGAATAGAAAATCACTTGAAAAATTCTGAACAATTATAGAAATAAATGACATGAATTAATTAGTTCCTCCATCATGTCAAGTGCCATTAATTTCAAGAACCAATTACTAACTTAGAAGAAAAGTTTTACATAGCCTGCCCATATAGTCTTTATAAAATTTTGCTACACCTGATGACTGTCTTCCTTATTTGTCCTCTTTTTTCCATTAATTAATATTTTATAACAACTAGGATATTCCTCCATTCCTTTCTTAATCTGATACCCCTCAAATACAGCAGCTCCAAACAAAGGGTCGGGAAAAGAAAACCCCTCTGTTCCACACCAGGACCTGCGTATCACAAAACCTCTCAGCCACCTGGAGAAGGGTGTCAAGGTTAAAGGCAGAAGAAAGCAGCGATATGATGAAGGCAATGGATAACCACATCAGGATCTTTCTAAATACTCTCTAGTGTGTGTTCAATTTTTACCTGGGTAGAGGGTGAAGGACTTGAGGAACAGGCTGCCTTCTTTCCTTTCCTATGCAATTCTCAATCTCGTTCTAGTCTCTGGTGACCCTTTCTTCAAACCCTTATGCCATTCTGTCTACTTCAGACCTCAGATCTTGGTGCCACATTCACTTTGAGATTCCACTTTCCCCAATCCCCAAATGCCTGGTAATTCAGAGCTATCAGCACGAGCACCATGCTACAGCAAAGTATGTCCATGCAGTTACAGTTCTAACACATGCTCTTCACAGACTATGTAAACATAAGGGTGTAACAAATACAATAAATTTAAGAAAACACTGATTATTAAAGTCAAGTTAAAAAAATCATATTTTAAGGCATTATGTATGGTCAAACCATTTGAATAATTATAGAAACACAATAAAAAAATCTCCAAGAATTTTTCTGTTCCTTCTTTAATTGTATCTTTTAAATGAGATTAGGCATTTGGCTCAGTTAATATTTCGGTTTTACTATTCAAATTGTTATAGAGTTGCTCTGCTTACAAAGATTCCTTTCTTTTCCACTCCAGCAAATATAAATAAGAAATATAAACTTTAGAGTATTAAAGTTCTTGCATTCTTTTGAAGTGAAATAGTTTATAAGAAAATATGTACATATTAAGCTGCAGTTTGAGTAGAATTTAACCAAAATTAAGTTGTCCTTATGCCTTTGATATATTCCTGTAGGGCATGCTAACATTTAATGCCCACATTAAAAAGACATCCAAGTTCCACACACATAAAAAAATACTTTCTAAAACAAGCAGTTAGCTTTATTGTGTTAAAACTGCTTCTGATTTTTTTTTTTTAATTTTAAAGGGAAAGAAGCAAAGTTCTTATTTTCATTTCTTGTACCATGTTATACAAAGGATGTGTTTATTGGGAAAAGTTACTAAAAACCTTTAACGAATGGAGAGCTTCCCCTATAAACAATCAGTATTGGATAACACCACCGTTTTTTGAAGTGTTAGATGCTAGGTGTGGTGTTATTCCACTTTTCACCTGTCATGCTTGAAACTGGGAGGGTGAGCCAGAAGGATCACAAATGGAGGACAGCTTGAACTACACAGAAAGACCCCGTTTCAAAAAATAAGTAAAGAATAACAACAAATTATAATGCATCTTAGAATCCTTATAAAAAACAAGCCAGGCATGATGGCACACACCTGTAATTTCAACACTCAGAGAGGCTGAGGTAGGAGGATAATAAATTCAAGCTGAGCCTGAGCAACTTAGTGAGACCCTGTCTCAAAATAAAGGAAGAGAGGAATCAAGGGAAGGAAGGAGGGAGGGGAGATTATGGGATTAGGGGAGGGAAGGACGTGAGAGGGGGAGAAATACAGAAAGTTAGCTAAATTTAGTGCATTGCAAAGGTCCAGCGTTCAGTCCCCAGTACCAGAAGAAGTTTTAAATAGAAACTGACAATTTACAAGTACCAGTGGAATAAACATGAAACTGCTCTAAGTGTAAAACAAGTGAAAGCACACTTTCTGCTATAATTCATCCAGTTAGTCATCTTACATATAATGCAGAATTATGATTTTAAAATTATCATAAAATAAATTGTACCCTATACATATTGTTGATACAAGTCCTTTTGTCTTCTATTAAAAACTCTTTAGAAGCTAATCAAACGTATCATTTCTTATTTCTTTTTTTAAAGATAAATCAGTTATATATCCTTGCTGGCTAATGTTATAAGCCGAATTATGTATCAGCAAAGCAGAATTCATACAACATGGAAAACAAAAAACCAAAGTTATACTAAAAAACTTACTGCAAGTTTCAATCAGAAGAAATTATATTGCAAGTTAAAATAGTAAAAATGTTTCAGAATTCAAACATCTGGTATTTGATTAATTTATATCACTATATAATTTATATTATTAACTTATAAAACTTTTAAATGAGACTTTTTATTTTCTGACTATGAGAATTGAATTCAATAGATAATATGCATTTTTTAAAGGCAAACCCAAACTCGAAACACAAATTTTAAGTATTCATGTTTAGTGTAATCCCATGAAGACATACAATAAGAACAAAGTAACAGCATTTCCATATAATACTACCTGGTTTTGAATGTCCATGTAAAACAACTATGGGTGACTCATTAAAAGACAAAAACAACAAATCCAAATAAAATTCCCATCTCAAGGGTTTTTTTTTTAGTATGGAAAAGAAGGATAAAAACTAAATGTTGTAAGAGAGAACTCTGCTAAATTTATACTGATATAATTTTAAGGGACTACTGTACAGTATTGATAACTGAAAAATTATGTTGATGAAGACTATTGCTTACATGGAAAATGTTCACTATGTACAACTGAATGAACAAAGCAATGTGTAAAGCAGTATAAAACCACAGGCTATTTCTGTGAAGAACAGATCACTATTTCTAACTTTACTATTCCCCTCCCACTCTAACGAATGTTATAGTCAAATGGGAGTTGGGACACAACTCCGGCAAATACCCACCTACAAATGTTGTTTTCTACCAGGCTGATGTTGCCAGAACTAAGTGAGAATCTACATGGACACTTTACAACAGAACTCTTTCGCGTAAGTCTTCCCAAACTAACAACCCACCAACAGGCTCAGAAGGACCTGATACTCCAAAACCAAACAGCAACTCTAAATTTAGAGGAATGGCCAAACATTTACAGGGATTAAATTTATGAACTATTAAGAATGAAATTCTTAGGGGCTGGGAATTTAGCTCAGTGGCCTAAGCGCCTGCCTGGCAAGCCTGAGGTTGTGAGTTCAATCCCCAGTACCACCAAAAAAAAAAAAAAAAAAAAAAAAAATGAAATTCTTTTCCATCGTGTGTGTGGATGGAAGGAATGAAAGAAGGATGAAAGGATAGAAAGGGAAGCACTGATAGATTAAGCAAGTATAAAGCTTACCTGAAATAGCCTGGTAAAAATATCAAATTCAAATACTGAAATGTAATCATTGAAAGTTAAATCAATTGTTGATTTTAGAGCCATTGCTTCTAGGCCAGAGCTAATTTGATGGACTTCATGAAGACACTGTCTGAATACTTTCCATGGTACAATAGTTCTGTACAAGAGAAAAATAAAATTATTGAATCAAGTGTTACTGAACACATATCTTCCACTGAAACAGCACAATTAAATCATAAAGTTAGTATAATTACATTTTCAATAAAAATATTTGAGAATACTGTTCATAATCCAGATCACTGGTAATGTTAATTTTGTTAAACTATGTTCCATTTATTAAGAAAGTTAAACAAAACAATTTCTTCCATAAATAGACCTTGGTTTTCAAGATAGCTCTATAAACACATTCAAAAGAAGTATTAGGTAAAAGTCCTATGCATCTTGACATTTTCATTTGTGCATACAAAGTTATTTAGCTGTGATTTAATATTAAATTCTCCTTTTCTGTTTTCTTAAGATAGTTACAAGACGATGGACCCATACAGCTTCAGGAATGTTATTCACTGCACAAGAGTCATGGGTATGTACCATTTCAATGTGTGTAAGGCAGAAAGTCACAAAGACTTCTCTGTCACCTTCCTGATGTTTCTGAGGAAATGAAAAGCACATGGACCTTTTCATTTTAATGGAATGCAAATTCTTACTTTTAAAAAAGTAACTTTAATTGCTATTTCAGGAAAATTTATACAATATCTACTCATTTGCATTATGTATCACTTATCAAAATGTTTAGTGAGTAAAGCATTTACATGTTCAAAAAGTTTAGAAGCACACAGTATTAGGAAGTTCAATTTCTTAACCAAACCCCTCACTAATTTTCAACATTTACCCATTTTCCTCTAGCCAATGAAAATTAACCACCTTTACATACTGTTCAGTGACATTTTTTCTTAGAATGTCAAATGTTTGTTGCTGCACTGATGGAAGGAAGAAACCTTTCATATTATTAAGAACGTAAATGGTAGTTTTCAAAAGAGTATAGCAAACAAGTTAATATGCACTCTTTTAAAAGACCACAAGTACTTTAATTTTAAGCGTTTTCTTTTTTCCTATTGACTCTTAAGAAATAAAAGACTCAAGCAAAATGAACAAAATTTTATCTGGCCTCATGGACCCAAATCTACCCAAAGAAGAATTAACACCAAGTTTCAAGTTTCATATTTATGACTATTTAGAGCAGTGGCTATGAACCTTAGCATCCATCTGAATCATGGGTTTGTTAACACAGAGACTGTTCATGGCCAACCCAAGATATTCTGTACTCTGGAGTAGAAGAGGGGGTGGGCGTGCGCCTGAAAAGTGAGATCTAATCGGTTCTCATGTGATGCTGCGGCTGCCTGCCGGGACCCACACTCCGGGACAGTACAAGGAACCTACTGTAATCCATCGATTGCTAAGGCGAGCACTTTTAGGAACAAGAATATGGCAACACAGGCATAGCTACGATCTCTGTTCTTGAAGAATATATGGTCTTCGGCCAGAATTAAGATTTGTGGTGGTAAAAGAATGCAGAGAGAGAGAATCTATAAGGAAGTAATTCTTGATGGATGCTCAGGGAAGACTGAAGAATCCCAGAGAAGGAGTCTATACGAAGTGGCATACATGAACGACAAGACAGGCTTACAAAACAATACTGCATCTATTAAAAAAAAGTTAATGTCTGATGTACCATTACAACAAGAAAAATACAAAGTTAAATATCTCAAAAGGTTTTTCTCTACATAAATAAAACAGCAGGAAACCACAGAGAACTGAAGAGAGATACCACATCAGATGTCATTTAGAAGAAACACACGTCAGACTTTGATTAAGCTTAACAAAATGCTGCTGGCATAAAAGAACAAGGGAAATTCTTAATAATTCTAGAAAGCTATTGATTTAATACGACATGTAAATATGCAATTATGTCCAGCTTCATTACAATGACCATGAAAGTAATGCCTACGAGGCACATTTTTCTTTTCCAAGTTAAAGTTTCCAATAATCAACACCCACAAAGAACATAAACCATAGTGGGGAAAAAAGCTGATCAAAAAACTGCTGATTTAAAAATGGCACAGATATTTTTCATATGGAAAACCATAAAAGTTTTGCTTTGTGTATACATTGTAGAAGTTTAAAAAAATTGGTTAAATATGCATCTTAGTATGTTGCCATAAAAATATTATTATTCAATATATAAGGTGCACAGCCCCTGAATGCACAAAGGAGTAAGAAGCTAGGACATTATCTGTTTACATTATCAGAAGTACAGATTTTCCTCCTTTAATTAGCTCTGCTGAACACCCTTATATATAAGGGGATATTAGTGAGGGAGGGTATTTCCCTCACTGTTCTAAAGGCTGTTCTAAAGTTGTTGCCCACACGACCTAAACTTCCCGCAGAGAATCGAAGTGGGTACCACTTTCTTTCCTGAATTGAGGGGGTAGGAGAGGATAAGTAGAGAATAAATGTGCATGCTTTTAATGAACTTGCAGCAAGAAACTGGTTCTCTTAGATATAATGCCTGGGAGAAAATATATTAATGGGACGTTGCTTTTAAACATGTAGAAACCTAAGAGTGGAGGCAACCCAGCGGAAAAAAGGGGATCAGAAAAAAAAGGACCTTAACTACTAAATAAGCCGACTCAAGCTTAAAGCTCTCACAAGTCACAGAAATTTAAAGTGCTTTAATTTCACTTACAAGTGGAATCACCTTTAAAATGCACAGAAAACCACATATCAGTATCAGTCTACAACTAACAGAAGATGAGGACAACAGGCAGCTAGGCACTTGTTAAGATAATACAATTTCAAGATCTGTAGATTTCCAGTGAGTTCATGGCTGCCACGCATTGGTTTGCTACCACCCATGCTATACAGAAATCTTTTGATGACTTTGAAAAAAGGGACAGTTGTGCTCACATGTCATAAGAATTTCATAAGTAAGGCTTAATTATAGTTCTATCATTACATAATCTCTAATCTATTGATGGACTCTAATCTAATGGACTCTAATCTATTGACAGTAAATGTTTTTTTAGAAGTTTTTATTTCTAAAACTTTTTTTGAAAATGTGTTATTTGTATTAAGTCGATATTTACAGTACACACTGAATATATTTATTATGTATTTTAAACAGAAAAAAATAAGACATATCAACAAGCAAACCATCAAAAAATAAACAACAAAAGCAAAATGACAATAGCAGCAAGAAGAGACAATAAGAATATAGCATTGCAAAATAAAATAGAAACTTAACTATGGTTGTCATAGTGCATATCATTATCTTCAAAATACTTGCTCAGGTTACCAAGATACAGGCATGCAAAAGTAATCAAATACTATAATTTCACCTTCAGCAGTTTCTTTTCCTTTTAATTTATCTTCTGAAACATTTGGATCTTATTTACACTTTGAGTGTCTTACACTAGCAAGACAATATGGTGTCTAAACATGTAAGTCCAATTTTTTTCACTTATGAGTATGGTCTCTAGTTGCATCCACTTAGCAATAAAAGCCTCAAGTTTATCATTCTTTATGGCTGAGACGTATTCTTTTTCATCCATTCCAAAGTTGATGGGCATTTGGGTTTTTTCCCCAAGATCTGACTATTTTACACATTGTGCAGCTATAAACATGGATGCACATCTATTTCTGTGATATGTTTTTTTTTTTTTTTTCAATTCTTCTGGGAAAACGTTCAGAAGAGGAATAGCTAGGTGGAATAGAACTTCTAGCTTTTTGAAGAATCTCCACTCTGATTTCCACAGTAGTTGTACAAGTCTACACTGTCACAAATAATGGAGAAGGTTTCCTTTTCCCCACAGCCCATCCAGCATTTGTCCATCTGTTTTGGAAATGGACTCTCACTGTTCTTTTAATTTGTAATTCTGTAATTGACCAATGGTGCTGCACATTTTTTCATATGTTTATTTGCCATTTGTATTTCTTCATCTGAAAAGTATGTATTCATTTCAGATGCTCATTTGTGATTAGGGTCTTTGAATTTTGGGGGTCTGACTTTTTTTTTTTTAGTTCTTTACATGTTCTACATGAGTCCTTTGTCTGAGGGACATTTGAGTAAGATTTTTTTCCAAATTCATGGATTTTCTTTTTGTTCTACTGATAATTTCATTTCACATGCAAAAACTTTTAGTAAGACGAGATCCCAGCTGCTGATTGCTTTGCTGTGCAGTTTGATTTCTTTTTTTTTTTTTTTTTTTTTTTTTATTTAAGAGGAAAAAGAGAAAAACACAAAACAAAACAAAGCAGTGTAAGGTTACATATAATACAGAACTACAAAAAAAAGCATAACAGTAAGAAATCACCTGTTAATAGATTACATATTATCATCTTGGAAATAGTTGCTCAAATCACAGTATCAAAGAATACAAAGTAGACATTCAAACAGAGAGACTACAAACAGCTGTGTTCAATGATCCAAAAACATTAATATAGTCAGCTATTCAACATCCCTATACACACTTGCTGTTATATCCGTTAGAGCTCTTTTTTCCCCTTCCTCTCTTTTTACAACAAAATTTACACATTTTAGATTTTATTACTCCTTAGTTCTTATTACTTTTTTGGGGGGGGGAATAAAGTCAAATATGGCAGAACAAAGCTGTCAGTGAAAACCAAGGATAGACTTAGCACATGATGTAGAACAGAGTATACGGTTATTAACAATAGTTATCAACGTTGTCTCTTGTTTCCTTAAAAAGATTTGTCTATCTCATTAGATATTATAAAGTTGGACAAAACAGTAGAGAACAAGACCAATAAAACTTAGACATTGTAAACATTACAGGACTTCCAAAGGAGACAATAGTCAAACCAGAATGGGCATCTTAGTGAATCTTACTGCCTTCAAAGTAGTTGCCTATACCCTCGGACCTGATACTATCCCACAGAATGGAACAGAGTCTAATCAGTCAAAACAAGATCGTGGGAGCATTACAGGACTTCAAAACAAGTTAATAGGAAATCGAAAAGAGTTACTATTATATATCCTAATTTTTTAAATTTTTCCCTTAATTAAAATAAACATAAGAAATAACTAAATAATTTTTTTAAAGAATAATAGTTACCATAGTGTCTGTCTTTTTCCTTGAG